CAAGCTTGCCGCTGCCTCTGACGGTGCCCTTCCCAGCAGCTTTGCCATGTGTGAGGCCTGTAGATATGCCTGAAGTGCCTATCATCGGCGAACATTGTACGGCCGCTCCAGCGATCCTTTGCCAGCAGCGGGGTGCAATACTTCGTCTTCGTCGGCAGCTTCATTCTGTGCTGGCTGTTTTGTATCGCCGATCTGACCCGTCAACCTAACTGGATTCTTTTCTCACAGCATGCCGATGACAAACCAGTCGCGTTCGATGGGCAGATCGAGATGGCCGGCACGGCCGGGCGCTTCACGCGCCATCAAGTAGATCCGCCGTAGGAGGAGTAGAACCGGTCTTGGAGACGCTCCTCGAGCTCTGCATGGGCGAGTATGCGGTCCAGGCTCAATCTGCTGGTAATCTGAATCGTCTGGAATCGCCTGGACGCTGCGTATGAGGTATGGAACACGGCTCGAGATCTGTGAAAATTACCGATTCGTCATCGCGCAGACGTGCTGATACAGGCGAGCATGCCTAAGACGGCAGACGGTCTGTGTGCGTGACACGCCACGTGCTTGCATGAGGCTGCTCGTCTGCCTGAGGTATACGCGGAAGCCTCCTCGCAGCTGATTCGCCAGATGACGTCGGACGAGGCGCACTGCCTCGGATTTCCTGATGCTGTGAATGAGCATGCGCCTTTATAGATGCAGCCAAGAACGAGGACGCGGCTGGGTTGAGCATACTGCAGGAGGAAGAGCACGGCAAGCGACGCACGCTTGTCACGTCGCTCCGTGAGATTACGAGGCTTACGCTCGGCTGCGAGCGCCCGTGCAAGCTTTGAAGACCGGCTCTGGGCTGTCCGCGGCAAGGCAATATCAGTGTGATGAGCTGCTGGCGCCGTCACTGTTCTTGGCGCGTAGGTCAAGGCATGCTGAGATGGTGCTTTGTATTTCTCTGCATTCTGCATGGTTCAGCTTGTCCTGTTGCCAGACTCATCGAAAGCTGCTCACTCGGCGATGCTACGACCACAAGCTCTTCGTCCGATTCTTCGACGGTCATGCAGCTTGGTCGAATCGTTGCTCGCAACAGCCTCGTCACTAGACACAGGTCACGATCGTCACGAGTCTCATTTCGCTTGCCGGCAGGCTCTTGCAGCAGCAGTCAGCTCGCAATCTGAGGCAGATACGCGTTTTGCGGCTGACAGAGCCAGACACGCACGGGCAAAGATATCTGCTTTAGACGATTGTTTTGAGATCAGCCGTTTTCAGTTGATCAGTCAGAGTCAGCGGAATGTGACACAGCAGTCGGCGAGGCGCTCGCATCAGGATTCTCTCCGTCGTAAGTATGAAGAAGCTGCTGCGCATAATCGACATTGTCAGTCGTAGAAAGGGTGGGGGCCAAGCTATGTAGAGTCATGCGAAGATATCTGCCTGCATCTGCATTGTACTGATCAGAAAAAGATTGGCAAGGGGGTCGCTGGCCGCTAGTTTGACTAGCAATCGCGCTTTGCTATTTTATTACCTGACAACAATGACGTGTCAGTCTATATGGCAATCGACACGTGTCAGCAATAAATGCCGGCAGTGCGCGTCGTTTTTGGTTTTGGGACCACAAAGCAACGTTGCTTGAGCGATCTATGCGCCCAAGTGCGAGTCTCAAGCGACTCGTCTCCTTCTTCGGCAGCGACCACTTCTCTTGCCGTACCTTTGAGCATCTCTGGCGAGCACGCAACGGCGAGTAAACGATTCTGCAACGAGGCAGCCAGCTCACTCAGATTCATAGAGCTTGGCGTCAGTCTACACTGTGTTGGTCCGCCTGCGCATCTTCCGAGAGGCAACATCGAGCCTGTAGCAAGTGTGTTAGATTCACAATGCAGTTGATCTGCTCAATGTTTGTGCAGCGCCCTTGGAACAGCTGGCACAAGCCCGAGAGCTGCAGTATGAAAGCGTTCGTGCATCAGATTTGCCCAGCTGGAAGGTTCGCAATGGCAGAGTCATTCCGAGTACAACTGATAGTAGACCAGCCTCCATATGAACGCCAAGTGGACGATGTCCTCGTCACAGCATCTTACGGCGGCATGATACCTCGCGGACTGCTCGATCGATACGCCGAGCATCACTGTTTGAACGTACACCCCTCGCTCTTGCCCGTCTGGAGAGGATCTGCACCTATAGAGCGGGCCATTGCGACCGGCAAGCTCGACACCGGTGTCACTGTACAGACACTCAGTCCGGACGCGTTCGATCGTGGCTTGATTCTAGCTTCTGAAGCACATGTGAGTGACCTGCCGCGCGGAGCATTGGCCAAGCTGATATCCGGAACAGACACTCGAAGACGGTGCGATGTATGCAGTCGCGCGAGATCAGCTTGCAAACATCGGTGGAGACTTACTTGTGCGCGTGCTGCAGCAGCTTTTTGCAGGCAAGGTGGGTCACGATGCGTCGCAAGCTGCTTGAACATACTCATCGTAATGTAGCTTACGTCGCGAGAGCAAGACAATCATAAAGCTACGATTGCGCGCAAGCTCAGACATCAGGACTCACGTATCGACTTTGCGTCACACTCTGCATCTCAAATCATGCAGCATCATCGTGCTTTCTCGCATAGAGTCAGTTGATACCTCTTGAACTGTTCAATATGCTGACGAGCGCATTAGCATCCGATATGGACGACTTATCTCGATCGGAACCTGGTGCTGCTGAAGCTGGACGTTGACGCCAATGGACACGTCGGTTCTCCGGGTTCAGCTAGATGGGACGACGGACGTCAATCGGTCCGGATAGAGACGATCCAGGGCGACTTGCTCGTTTCTGAACTTCAGCTGACAGGCGGCAAGCCTCAAGGTGCTCGATCGTGGTGGCGCGGTCACGCGATCAGCAGAGGACACAAGAGTCTCATTTTTGGCACATAGCAGTACAACAACAGATCACTCGACGGGCGATTCTAGACATCATCCTCGGATTCTGCCTCGCCAGAAGAAAGCTCTTCGGATTTGGCACGCTTCGTCCTCACTCCTGCGTCTTCGCCGATGACGAGGCAAGGGGAGCTAGTCGCAGGCCAAGCCACTTTGCACTTTGGACAGATGTGCTGTCTACCTGTTCCTCGTGTGACGCAGAACTTGTGTAGCCGCGTGGGACAGCTAGCACATTGGTAGCCCTAGCAAATGCATCAGCTTGTTGCATAAGTGGGACTCGATCCACCCACGATGGTGACAGGAGAGAGGCAGGAAGCACACTGCCAGTCTTGCGTCTCTGCTTCGTAGCCTTCGAAGAACTTGCCCAGCTCGACCAGTGTACGCGTTGAGAGGCAGTAGTTGCCTTTCGGACTCTTCTCGAGCCAACCTGGCCAGACCTCATTTGCTACTGTTCAACATGGACCTGTCGCGGGACGAACCCTTTGCGATGTAGATGGACAGCGTCTTTTGCGCTTGCGTCTTTGTGATCTGAGGTTGGATGGATTTGTCATTCGACGCGCGTAACGCTTCTGCATGATCGATGCAATAACGCAGACTTGGCTCGCCGAGTATCTTGCCAATCTGATTCTCGCTCAGCGGAGTCTAGGAGAGTCGCAAAGCGTGAGGAGGCATACGAGTACTTTGAGGTAGCTCAGTTCTGCGTGATTCATGTCGCTCGAAGCAGCGCTGGCTTTGTCTTCCATCGTGTTCACAAAGACATAGCAAGCTTTGCCCGTCCTCTGTTCGATCGTATGCCGGATCTCGAAGCCCAATTCGCTCAATGTCGCGTTGATGGTCGTGAGCGCATCTGCGAGTTCGCTCGTCTCGACTTGTGCAATCTCGCACGACCGCTTGAGCATTCTGTAGGCTAGTTCTTCTGAGAAGATTCTGCGGGACATGGCGCTCCGTACGAAGAGATGATGCTGCGTCTCCATGCTGAGCTCCGTCGAGCTATCGATCGGTGACTTGTCGCGAGCAAGAGGAAGAGCGCGATTTTCTCGAGACATAGCGGCACACCACTGGAAGATGTACGGCGGAGGTAGGTCAGGTCAGGGAGGAGATCTGCGCAATGCAGCCCTGGCAGGAAAGACGAATGTCATCTTCATTGGCAACTTGCCCTACGATGCCGTTCGTTCATCCGACTGTGACGGCCCTTGCTCCTTGCTAATGACGCGAGAGAGCAGACCGAGCAACAGCTTGCCGAGCACTTTAGCAGCGCAGGACCCGTCGTGGGCGCCCGGCTCGTCTTCGATCACGATACAGGTAAAGCCAAAGGGTTCGGCTTCGTGGAGTTCTACGACGCCAACGTCGCTACTTCTGCCGTACGCAACCTCAACGGCGAACAGTTCCTCGGTCGTGCGCTCAGAGTAGACCATGCCGAGCCAAAGGAAGGCAGTGCTCCCCGTACGAATCCGATCAGACAGGCCAATAATGCTCCTCCGGCGATGGCAAGGGCAATGGCTGTAGGTGCACCCCCGGGCGTCAACCTCGCTCCCGGTGCCTCGGCGGTCGATTCGATCAGCGAGACGCTAGCGACCTTGCCGCCCAATGAGCTGCTCGATATCATGTCACAGATGAAGGTGAGCGGACTCTCGACAGACCGTCAGCTCGGCTTAGCGATACACTATCTTGCAGTCACTCGTTACGACCTCGCCCGACCAAGCCAAAGCGCTCCTGGCCGGCAATCCTCAACTGACCTATGCGCTCTTCCAAGCCATGCTCATGATGAACATGTCAGCCCACTCGCTCTGCATCTCGCTCTCGCTCACACGGTCTGCAGCGTGGATCCCATCGTGCTACAGAGAATGCTAGCGCCCGCAGCAGGCCAAGCTCCACCTCAATCAGTACAACAGCAGCCCCAGCTTCCTCCGCAGCAACCCATGTTCAGCCAAGCCTTACCGCAACGGCCATACGGACAAGCGCCCGTAACCGGTCTGCCGCCTAATCCTGCCCAGTACGCCCAACCGCCACAACAACAGCGAGGACCGCCTATGCCGCCTCAGCCGCAGTATCATAACCCGCCTCCGATGCAGAGACCACCCATGCAGCAACAACAACCGCCACAGCAAGCACCAGCACCACTGATCGATGAAAGACAGGCGCGTTTCGTCTGTCAGCATCGCAAAGTAGTGTGCTGACTGAGGCCAAAATCGCAGAGGATGCTGCAGCAGGTCCTGTCGATGCCTCAAGAACAAGTCGACGCTCTTCCAGAGGGACAGCGAGTGGCCATCATGCAGATCGTAAGCGCTCGTGCAGCAGTACAACAAGGAGCCCGAGCTGATATGAGAGCTCGTCCAGCGCGAGAGTGCGAGGCTGGCAGCGCAAGGCAGATGAACTGTGTACACTGTTGTGACAGTGTGATACAACAACTATTACAGATCCGGTCAATCTATCGCTACACCTTTTGCTCGTAGCTCGTTCTTCGCTTGTGATACTTCCTGTGCGCACCAATGTCAGTTTGAGCCCACGGGAGACCAAAGCGCGCGCACCTCGAGTAATTCGGTGTAGGCCTCCTCGCAATCGCCAAAAGTGAGCACGCCGTAGCCTAGTTCACCCAGGCAATATGATCCTAGCGTGACCAATGCCCACCACGGCAGCTGTTCCCTCAGACATAAGCTCGGCGTCGTCGCACTGATCGCATCGGACGGACCACAGGCACGAGCTCGTCTGAAGCCGATTCTGACACGAGGGGTAGATGAAGTATACCCAATGCTAGGCAAATGTAGATGAGTGTCGCTATGCCGCCATAGAGCAACACACTCGTCTGCCGCGTCATGATGACGGCCGACAAAAAGCAAGGACGCGATCTGATGAAGACGATCGCGACGCTCGTCGTCTCTCGGGTTGGCTCGCGTGAGTGAGCGAGATGTCGGGGATCTGCAAGGGCAGGCTCACAGAGGAACGCAAACAATGGCGCAAAGATCATCCCTACGTACGTGCATCCATTCGAAGCGTCCAGCATGCGTCGAGCTGATTCGGTCGAATTGCAGGGCTTTTGGGCTAGACCGAGTCAGTATCCCATCTGTACACCAGGTTTAGCGAGCCATGCTGATGTCAAAATGGCTATCTGACAGCCAAGAAAGGTGCGCATGCTTCGGTCGACGCCTGCGAGGCATCTTGATGTGTTTGCTCGCTCAGGAGACGGACTCGACCTCATGGAGTGGGAAGCGGGCATCCCAGGCAAGGAAAACGTTCGCACCGGTGCTTCTTAGCGCAGTTTGATCGTGCGCTGAGGCGTTTGGCAATGGACAGACACCCTGGCAGGATGGAACATACAAAGTCGTCATGCAATTCCCTGAAGGCACGTCACTCCTTTCGTGTGAGTTTACCGAGCTCACGACTCGGCGTGGCATCCAGACTACCCTAGCAAGCCACCCAAATGCAAATTCGTCCCGCCACTTTTCCATCCTAATGTCTATCCGAGGTCAGCACACTGTGCATCTGCTCAGAGAAGTGCTTACACGCCTTGTGGCAATGGACAGTGGCACGATCTGCTTGAGCATTCTCAGCGAAGACAAGGGCTGGAAGCCTTCCATCACGGTCAAGCAGGCAGGCGGAACGTGCTCATCCGATGCGTGATCATCTGATCTTTCGGCCGTCGCGTCTTGCAGATATTACTGGGCATCCAGGATCTGCTCGACACGCCCAACCCGGACGATCCTGCGCAAGCAGATGCTTACTACCTCTTCAAGAAGGACAAAGCAGCCTACGAGTATGTATTCCCGCACTGTGGCAATTGTGTGTGAGAGCTGAGAAGCGCCAACAGGAAACGCATCAAGCAGCAAGCGCGAGAGAATCCAGTATGAGAGTAGAGAGCGCGCTGAAGAATCTACAGTTGTACGATCATACTTGTCCAGCCCATGTGTTGCAACAAGCATCTCCATGCATTCTCAAGATTGCCGGTCTAGCTTCGGCACATCAACGCGATCGCCAAAGTACTCTGCAGCTCTGTCGCCATGCCACTTTTGCAGGCTACTGAACCGTGCTACGATGTTTTCTCGCTTGCTCGCTTGGCTCGACTTTGAGACGGTCTGGAGCGTATGCAACATAGCAAACAGCGTGGCATCTACTTCAGTCGCATCTTGGGTTGAGAGCAGCCACTTTGATGCGCCAAGAGTGGAGACCTGCTCGTCAAGTGTCGCTAACAGCGTCAGGGCTTGCTGCTCGATGGCTTCTAGGTCAATACGCGTATCTGCCGGACCCACACCCGTACTTTGCCCGATCTGCCTGATGATGGTGTCCAGTTTGAAAGGTAAGTACCACTTTGCTCCATTGGCAGCGGCATCCGTTTCGACCTCTTTCTCGTCTTTGCCCGCTTCGCCATGAAGGACGCGCGCTTGTAAGCGTTGAATCTCTGCAATGGCTTCCGATTTGTGGGACGAAGCAAGCATTCGGTGGAGCATTCTCGTTAGCGTGGGCGAGGAAGGGTGCGCACGAGGGTGGTAGAGCGGAGTTGTGTAGGTCGTGAAGATGGGCGTCAAATAGAGTTGCGTCATCTGCGTGTCCACTCAGCTCTGTCGTGCTACGTCAGCAGGTATGCGTACGATGTACAGCCGAAGCGATGTGTCTATTTGGGGCAGGAGGTCGTTGAGCTTGCTGCGTTGCTCGTCTGTCAGACCATCGTCGGGCTTGGTGTCCTGCTTCTCCTGAGCTTTCTCTTGCTCTGCTCTCTTGCGCTCGAGCTCAGCGAGTACCGCCGACTCCGTCTGCTTCGGCGCTTTCTTTTTCTGCTTCGGCACATCGCCGCGTTGCTCATGGATCCAATCGGGGATCAGTGCCGGCGGTAGCAATTGACCATCCGGCAAATGCAAGCAGGGTAATTGACCGCCTAGACCCGCTTCTGGGTCTTGCCAGTATCGCCATACGACGCTCGATCGCTCAGACAGACTGAACCGAAGCCGGGCTTGCCATTTGAGACATTCTACGTCGAAGGACTCCTCCGCGCCGCCCCGGCCTGGACCGAGTAGCCACAGCGTCGGTGCAGAGGGCGCTGGCGGTAGCGCTGAGCTGATGGGACCTTGTGCAGGGTATAGCCAGATGGGAAACCGATCGGACAACGCACGCAGGGCCTTTGATAGCCTGTCATCGCCTGACTTGCGACTCATTGCTGTCGCTCGAGATCTCGAGACGTTCTCGCACTGATGGCGCGCGGCAACACGTGGCAAGTCGCGAATTTCGAATTTCGAGAATTGTTCTTATCGCTCACACGGTGGTCAGCGGGCTCAACAGTATCGACGATTCATCGCCTCCTGCGCCTCTTCACACCATGGAGTCTGCACTCAACGAGCTCAAAGCAAAGGCAGCCGCCTATGTCAACGGTCAGGACACGATCGCTGCGCCGAGCGAACACAAATTGCCCGCTGCACAAATCGATGGAGCGCACGCTGCCAATGGCACCAATGGTCATGCTAAAGGATCTGCGCACGGCACGAACGGCAAGACAAATGGTCATACAGTCGCAACTGCGCATCCTCTCGATCAACTCTCGACAGACGAACTCACGAGCATTGGCGACAAAGTCAGAGAGCATCTCATGCAATCACTAGGCATCAAAGCGTACCGCTTCATTTCCAACACCCTCGTCGATCCTCCCAAGAAGGATGTACTGAAGTATCTGGGCATTGCGACCAATCCAGAGGAGCTGGGCAAGGTCGAGCCCGATCAAGCTGTCAAACTCGCACGAAGAGCCAAGGTCATTATTCTTGACGCGCTGACCGGCAGTGCCTACACGATCCTCGTTACCATCGACCGAGCCAACGTCACCATCGACAAGGTTGATAAACTCGCAAAGGGCGTCCAGCCATCGATCTGTCCCGAGGAGCTCTTGGCTTGTGAAGATATCATCAAAGCCGACCCTCAAGTCTGCAAACTCGCCAGAGAACTCGGTCTCGAGCCCGAACAGCTCGCAGCAGACGGATGGTCTATCGGCATGGACGATCGCTTTGGCTCGGGCAGACGCATCCAGCAAGCGCTGATGTACGCCCGTCTTCAGCCGGACGACAACCTCTACGCTCATCCACTCGACTTTGTGCCCGTCGTCGATGTCATTGCGGGCAAGGTCATCCACATCGATTTCCCCGCCACTAAGAAACCTGGCGAGAAGCTCTCTCGAGGTAGCTCTGCGCCCCATGACATCAATGCGGACCAGCTTGCAGAGTCTGGCAGGGAGCGTGTTCCCGTACCTCGGCAGCCTTACGAATACTTGCCAGACCTGCTTGCAGAGCACGATCCGACCTTCAAGCTTCGTACCGATCTCAAGCTCTTACATATCACTCAGCCCGAAGGCGCTTCCTTCACGCTCGACGGTCATCATCTCAAATGGTCTACGTGGGACCTGCACGTCGGCTTCAATGCTCGCGAAGGACTCTATCTCAATATGATCCAGTACGATGATCATGGTGTCAAGAGGCCCATCATCGCTCGTCTGAGCAACAGCGAGCTCGTCGTGCCTTACGCTTCCGAAGCCTTCCCTCATTCGCGGTGGGTCTCATCGTCACGATCAGCCAAGCAAGCTGACCGTCTCGGATGGTCTTCACAGCAAATTTGCGTTGGACATGTACGTCTTCAGATCTGCCTGGTGTCTGTGCTCACAGACATTGTAGAGGCGAGTATCTCATCGGCACACTTACGAATTCCCTCGAGCTGGGCTGCGACTGCTTGGGCGAGATCGCATATCTCGACGGCTTGCTCACGTCTCACGATGGCTCGGCTATGAAGATCAAGAACGCTATATGCATCCATGAAGAGGACGGAGGCGTGCTCTGGAAGCACACGGATTACAGGCAAGACGGCAAGACACATGCCGTCCGTTCGCGCAAGCTCGTCATCTCTTCCTTTGCGACTGTCGCCAACTATGTGCGCCTCTCTCATCAGCTTTTTGCGCGTGCTGACCCCAGGTGGTAGGAATACGGCTTCTTTTACGAATTTCATCTCGATGGCACGATCAAAGTCGAAGTCAAGGTCTGCTCTGCTAATACTCAGATCAATGCGAGCTGACAGCGCCGTACAGCTGACGGGTATTCTGAATACCTGGTCATTGGCAGAAGGCGAGGATGCAGGTCTGACAGGCACCCAAGTCGCGCCTCGCGTCGTCGGTCAGCATCATCAGCACTTGTTCTCCCTCCGCATCGAACCCATGCTCGACGGCGTCAACAACACTGTCGTCGAAACCAATGTCGTTTCTGCGGAAGGGGAAGTTGGCTCAGCAGAGAATTATGCCGGAAACCGCTTCGAGGCTCGCAAGACGGTGCTCAAGACGGCCAAGGCAGCTATAAGAGACCCCGATCCTGCTACGAGCCGCTACTGGTCCATCGTACAACCGTCCGAGAAACACTACTCGTCCGGTCACTCGCCCGCGTACAAGATCATGGCGCCTTACCAGCCGCCTCTGTACTGCAAACCTGGCTCGTGGGTCGCTCGACGTGCTCCTTTTGCAAAGCACGGTCTCTGGGTTGTTCCTACTAGTACAACGGCAGCAACTTCCATCTACCCGGCCGGCGAGCACGTTCCGCAATCTTGCCAAGACGGTGGCGAGCTCGAAGACTCCGTTCAGGTCTGGGCAGATCGCGACGAGAATATTGAGAATACAGACATTGCTCTCTATCTCACCTTCGGCACGACGCATATCCCTCGTCCGGAAGATTTCCCCGTCATGCCCACTGAGCATCTCTCGGTGACGCTCAAACCTGTCGGCTTCTTCAAGCAAAACCCTGCTCTGGATGTGCCCGCCGTTCGCGACTCAAAGAGCAAGCTGGCTCATTGCAATGGCTGCTAGCTCATTTGATAGGACACAGTCTTCCCCTGTTCGGCTAGACTTTAATGTGACTTGTAGGGTTAGATTTGCATTCAATGATCTGCTTGAGGGTCATGAGTGATGGCCAGGAAGACGGAATCATGTCCACCCGCTAAGAATCTTGATGGCTTCCAGGGTCCCGCACTGCCGCGAGAACATCTAGGGGCTTCGGCGACGTCCAAATGAGATCTTTCGCGGTCATCAGCGATGTCTGTCAATCTTCGAGTCGAGACATACCCCGTGGCAGCCAGTCCTCTTGGCAAAGCGCTCGTCCGATCTTGTAAGCATTACCGCATCGCACATTGACACTTGCCGTTGGTTCCTCATCAAAGTAGACTGTACGACGTGTCAGATACTGCTATACGCGCTTGCAAGCGATGACAGACATTCTCGGATACCGAAAGTGAAGCTGCATCTTCCTTATGAGAACGACGTCTGTGAGAATTGAAGGAACGGACGTACTCGACCTGATAAGTTACTTGACAGCATTCATAGAATAGGATGTCGGCAGTAGGCGGCTGATCGCGCGGTTGACCAGGTCCCCATAGCGCAGGTCGTGTCTGTTGCATGATCGTGATCCGGACAAGATCCCCACGCCTGCCTTGCCACGCGACAGGCTACCAAAGGTACTTAGTGCGTGCCGCCTTCTATAAGGCTGATCTGCGTACTTGGATCTGGGGATCACCGTCGCTCTGTCTCGTTTGCATCAGGATATGTGACCATCTTTTTCGTGTGTGACCTACGAATTCGACCGAGACCGCACCATTCTCTGGCTTGATGACAGTGAATTTCCAGAATGCCTGCGTGAGGCTACATAAGCAACATAAAGCATTCTTGAGTTGTCCTTGCAAACCATAGGCTCCCAGACGATGAGGCGATGGCCGGCATGACTAGCGTCTGCTTTGAAGCCGGCGAAGAGTTCGTAAGTGATCGGCTCGAAAGGATCACGTCGAAGCAAGGCCAATGCAGGCGTTGTTGTGACGTTCAACGGCAGAGCCTGAACAGTCGCGAGAGCAAGCAAGCTGAGAAGGCCGCTGAGCATGTCAGTCTGTGGGTCAGGTACGATGAAAAGAGAGGATTTGACGAGAAGACGATGACAGTGCAGGAACGTGCTATTAGTAGCGCGCTTCGCTGAGGCATGTCTGGACGAGTCTGCATCGTTGTCAAGTATACAACGCTACCCCGACTGTGCCAAGGGATTGGTGACGGTGATGTTCGATTCCAGAGCGAAACAAGTGATGACCACTGCGTGCGGATGAAAAGCTGCAAGGGGAAAGCGTGCGCTGACTGACTTGATGATCCAAAGATCGCGCAAGAGCCGCCCAAGCCTCCCGAACATACCATCTTCTGTAGTGAGGGAAATTCAGCTTATAGGCAGTCGACTCGGTTGCACAAAGTACATGGATCTTTGGAGCCGGTTGCTCGATCTCATAGTGCCACTTTTCGTAGCTGAGCAGGCCGAAGCGTTCGAACGCAGTCGCGCAGCAAGGTCGAACTGAAGTCATTAGTCAAGCTCATGCTTCTGCGCTGGACGGCATACGCATCCAATCGTCGAGGTGCATAGGTGTAGTCACTTTGAACCTGGCTTGGCCTGAATCGCTCTGGGCCTTTCCGATGTAGAAGCCATTCCTAGCGCCCGTTTTGCGCTGCTGATACTTAGGTCAAGCTGATGTTACCCAGCCACAACGGACCACTTCGAAGGTTTTGGTGACCGGGTTCGCGTAGACAGTCACATCACCCTTGAGGGTAATAGCTTGACTACCGCCGAGTCCGCCGAAACTACACATCGCCGAGCCCGAGTATTGAATACGATACGCGAGCAGATCTTGCTGTGCATAGCTCGTCATGAGCATCAGGCATATGGCCAGCAAAGCCGATGCAAGCATCGTGTCACGTAAGCAGCAAGCTTGCAAGGGCAAAACCGTCAACGCGATCGAGAGCTGAGCCCCTGTCGTGTCGCTCCTGGTCGCCATCGCACTCCTTGTCGTCGATTATCCACGCATACCGAAGGCATTGCATTCCATGCAACTTGCGCTAATGCGAGTTGTCGAATGGGTTGATGATAGCTATATGAGACTGCAGCGCGTAGCAGCTGATGACGGCTGTTTGCTTCGTCAGCATCGCTGGGAACGAAACAGTGATCGAGACTTGCAGACTGTATCAAAGACCTCGCAGAAGGGACCCGCTTGATTTGTGCAGATCATTTGCTGGGTGGAAGCCGTTACAGTCAGAGGAATTTGCGGCTTGTATCAATCCGAGACGTACATAGACTTTGGGCGGCGGAAAGGCAATTTCGTAATGCCAACGGTCGAGACTGAGCTCTCCACTACGTTCGTAGTTACTGCCGCAGCACGGATGCCCTGTAAATTTAGCGAACTGTTCAGGCATCGCGTCTTTGATGGTTGATGGCTCACATAGCCATTCCTCGAGGTATAGAGGTACCCAAGCAGAGAATTCGACCCGCACACCGTGATGGCGCGTTTTGTCGTCAATCTCTTTTGTAGCAAAGCCATTCTTAGGCTTGGTGGCGTGCTGCAGAGGACTTTGAGCCATGTCGAACCAGCGACGATGATGAGAGGCTTGCCACTTCGAACTTTCTTGTCATCGGGTTACCATACACTGTCATGTCGCCCTTCATCGAGACTGCGCGCGTGCCATCTGTTCCGCCTACTTTGCAAACCGCTGTTCCGTTGTAGATGAGGCGATATGCCACAACTCCTTCCTGTGCCCGACTGAGCAGGCCAAACCCCAATAAAGCCGAGACCGTTAGAAAGAGCTTTGCACCTAGCAGCATCTCATATAGCGTTATGCGGCGCCTTCAAGACAAGCTACAGAGAGGGAGGGCAGGAAAGGAGGGCGTTGGAAAGAGATTGCGGCAACTACCTCCTCGATGGCCTTTCGGTTGCCGCGTCGCGCGCCAAGCTTGCTTGCTTGCCAAGCCGTCAAAACATTGCACGTCTGACTGAGCGACTCATAATGCAGGGCTCTTTCATGCTCCGAAATTGTCATTACATGTCAGTACGACAGTGCTGATGCCAGCTATCACCTTGACAGCCAGACCTCCAGATTGGCCGTCGATAGCACTTCTGACGCTACAAACAAGTGTTGAGCGTGCTGCTCGCGGCCGCAATATGAGACAAACTGACGTCCTGAGTAGCTACCTTGGCAGTCTGCGCCTTCGAGTGCATACTGCGGCCCGCATTTGAAGCTGACGGATATCTCGCGGCCGTCTGATCAGATGTGTAGGCATGAGTCTCTTGCGAAGCACACAGAGGCGGAAGTTGCGCACCTGGCGATATATATGCTGAGAGCACGAAGTAAGCTCAAGATCTGGAGACTGCTGAGCGGCAGGGCTTACGTTCGGTACGGGACACGCGAAACGTGATCTGCACATGGATCCGTGTTAGTTCCGTATTTCTGCTGGACATGAGACCAACATCTGCAGTCCCGACGCAGCACAAGTTGAAGTGTGAGTGGGGCGGACGCACGCGCACTTTAAGATTGATGAGCGTTCGGTATTGACCGCGGACCCAGCTCGTATATGGCCTGCTTTCCTGAACATGACATGCCCTCAGCAATTGGACGGGCAGATGAAGATTGACTTGCCGCTGCCTGCAAGACTGCGTCAGTGAGCTGGCAGTCTAGCTTTTGATACTACTCACTGCGATCTCAGAGTTCACGACCTGCAAGCTGTCATCGGCTTTGTTGGTAAGCAGCATGGAGAGGACTCACAAAGTCGACAACATAATTTGAAGACTTGCCGTTCCTTATTGTGAAAATGCAGGGAGTATTGGGTTTCGAGACCGCGACCGGGAATTGTCCCTTCCAAGTCCCGGAAGAGGTGAAGCTGCACGGATGAGGCGAGCTCGTCGTCAAGACAGCCGGGCGTACCTAAATTCCACCATATAGCTGACATCTCCGGGCGATTCCAAGATACTAGCGAGATCGGTGTCGCTGGTGGAAGTAGCAAGAGTCACGTAGAGCAGAAAGGCTGCACAAAGCAAGGAAAGCAACTTGTCCGTTGCCATGCGTGCGCGGGCTTGCCGATGGGAGGACTTGACACCATTTGCCGTCGCAAGACCCTTTCTGGTTGCCGCTGCGGGCTGTTTGATTTCTTTGCGTCGGTATCATTATTCGGAGCTTGCCAGCAAGCCGAGCTTAATTCGAGAGTGTCTATGCAGCATCGATTGAGAATTTTTGCGGGTGATTCTCGTATGAATTTGGCCTGATGCACAAACTTCTGTAGTCGGCCCGGTACAAGTGACCCTTGCCGTTATCTGGGCAACGCTTGGTGCGCGTCAAGCAGCTTCCCATTCATGGCCGTCGCGAATGCCGAAAGCACTTATGTCTGGACGAGACTGTGTGCGTGCTTTCTGCGGCCAAGGGATGTGTGTGTCGCGACATGTACGATTCGCTAGCAGTCGCCAATGAAGGCGCGAGATTCGAACGCGATTCAGCGAGTGATGCAGGAAATACAGGTCTGCTCTTCTGTAGCCTAGTGTGCATTATAGCGAGCTGATTTGCTCATATCAACCAGACCTGGAAAGCCCGTTGTCAGCCTCGGAAAGGTTGTATCGACGGTGACGTACCTTCTCGATACAGCTCGCCGGAGCAGTCCTCGCCCATGTACGCGTAAGTTCCGCCACAATCTAGCGTGACGCTGAGCGTCTTGCCAGCTGCCGACTTGCTTGAGCTGGGACTCTGAGACAGCAGATACACTCACAATCCGCGAGCAGCACTGCGCTTCGTATGAGCTCGACGGAGGCGCCAGGACGACGAGCTTACCCTTGTCACGCGAAGCCCGGAAGTGCAATGTTGCGGTGGCAAGGCAGCAAATTGAAAGTCGGATCGGTCGGTCTATTCTTGAACTCGAGACTGATCTGTAGTCTCTCATTTGACCAGTTGGAAATCATTGTCGATGACTGCGTTCGGCCAGAGCGCTAATCAGGGCGTGCTCGATTAAACAAGCTACAGACGGCCGCCTGGTTGATAGCCTTGTCAGCATTTGCTTGACAGCATGAACATACGACCTACGGTCACACTGGAATCTAGCTTGGTCTACGACTCCCATCCAGCCAACGTGGTGCCTATAGATTCCGGACGGTCTCACAAAGCTCGCGTAAAACTGGTCGTCACTTCGGTTGATCAGATCAAACTCGGTATAGTGAGCAGGTCGATCGATCGTGACAGGTCGGCCGTTGTAGATTCCGCTGACAGTGTAAGAATATCGACACGAGTAGGGCAGACTCGCAGGTCGATCTTTGCCGAGAATGCTGAGATATTTCGAATCATGATCATGTTCGGTCGTCGTCGTCGTCACGATGGCCTCGTGAGGCTGGGTGAGATCCAGAATGTTCAAAGGAGCGCCGAGCGCAGCATTGAGAATGAGCACAGCAAAGCAGTAGATGAAGAGAGCCATATGTCAGTGCGATTTTCCCCAAGTCTATAATTTTGGGTTTATACAAGCAGGAGCAGGGTCGACGCGGCAGGAGAAGCGAGTTGTCGTGTCATAAGGTGGTCGTGTACCGACACAGGGGCTACTGAGGGCCCTGCAGGAGCGTTCGAAGCAGGCCGGCTGAAAAGATGCTCTTGGTGTCGAGCTAATCAAGACAGTTCGGCATCATGCACATTATTTGATTGCGGAAGGAGCGCGAGGATGATTGATTAGGTTGGTCCTATCATAGTCGTATGTATCAAACGCGGGCTGATATTTACAAGCATGGCCGAGAATCTGCGCCGAAGGCGGGGAGGACGTCTGAGCATTGCATGACGTACAGGATGCTCACGCATTCTAACCCCATGGATCATTGCTGACGTTCCAGTCGACACTATCGTTGATCTTCTTTACGCCTATATGATCAATCAGCTCCGCAGAAGCGAAAGCAGAGCAGACGTGCCTGCCTGATAGACTTCATCCGAACAGTCCTCACCATTCTGCGAGTGTTTTTCGCCGCAATCCATCGTGATTGTGAGCTCCTTTCCGGCTATCCAACCGGGTCTGATCACGAATTGGCCAACAGAGAAGCAGAACTCACTGCCTCCAATATAGACTGCGCCGCGTATGAGCGCTGTGCCACCTTGATAAGGAGAAGCTTACCCTCGTCACGAGACACACGGAACTGTACTGTGGCTGTTGCTACGCAGCAATCTCTCATGTTCATTTCTTGAGGTCTGATCTGTAATTCGAGGTTGATCTGCAGTCTTTTTGTTGTGATGTTGGACACCATTTTGGAATCCTGCGAGCATGATGGACGATCCCAATGGAATCGTATGGCACACGAACAGCTGACTGCGTCATGCCCACGTCAGAGCTGCCGAGCTCTGCGTTCATGCCGGCTTACAGTAATTCTGTCGTCGACATCATACTGTCGACCTGATCAGGATGACTGTATGATTCTGAATGGGAGATCTGACAAAGAAGGCGTAGTAATTATCGCTGTCCTCATTGATGAGATCGAAGTAGACTATTGTTTTCGGTGGATCAATCGTAACGCGCCATCCGTTGTAGGTACCATAGACTAGCATCCAGAGCATGAATTCGTAGTTCAGTTTGTAAGGTCTGCCAACGATGCTGAGAGCTTTGCTGTCGTCCACGGTAGGCATGAGCTCCTTATGCGAGCCGACAAGATCGGTGCTCGCAGGAGCACGGAGGGCAAGATCGGTACTTGTGGGAGCACCGAGAGCAGCGCTGAAGAGGCAGGCGAGGACGGATAAGAGAGTCAGCAGCATCTCGTCGGGTCTGCTGATTTGAACGAAGGGAAGAGGATGAAAAGCGACCAGGGGACGGCAGGAGATAGCGACAGGGGAACATAAGTGCGGAGCAAGCGGAGACGCGGGCCGCGGCCAAAGGCAGCAGCAGATTGCGCGCCGCGCGCCGCGTACAGCAGCACTGTCGCGCGGCCAGGCTTACTGCTGTCATGAGCCTCTACCCTACCTCGAGCGCCAAAGCCAAGCGAAGGACATATACAAGCGGCAACACGACGTCGAGCTATGGCAATGGGCCTAGCCAGAACAATCAGCAGCAGCAGCCCCAAATAAGTGACGAGCAGAGAGCAGAGATCAAAGAGGCTTTCGAGCTTTTCGATCTCGACAAGGATGGCATGCTCGACTACCATGAAGTCAAAGTGGCCTTTCGCGCACTCGGATTCGATCTCAAAAAGGCAGAAGTACTCAAGCTGCTCAGGGACCACGACGAGAACGGTCGTAGCCTCATGAGCTTTGAATCCTTTCAGCGCATCAGTGAGTTTCTCACTCGCTTGACGCGGAACGCGAGGCTGAGGAACGCACAGCGACGGACAAGATGCTCACGAGAGATCCTCTGGACGAGATTAGGAGAGCATTCCAGCTTTTTGACGATGACAAGACGGGCAAGATTGATATTCGCAACCTGAGACGAGTAGCTAAAGAGATTGGTGAGAATCTTGACGACGACGAGTTGTACGTTCAGTCGCCGCTGTTCGCCGTGTCCGCTGATCCACTCGCGCAGAACGGCCATGATCGAAGAATTTGATTTGGATCAAGACGGCATGATCAGCGAGCAAGAATTCGTGCGTCTATGACATCTCCCACGCTTTACTACCGCTGACATAGTCTCATTCAGATCAACATCATGACGGACGATACTTGAAAAGGCTCTCGGGCAGACAGACTTGTTGTTTGTAAACGCGAGATGCGAGCTAGCCTGTCGAGCACAGACGTACATTTGCAGTACAAAGGTTTGGACGAGTTGCTGAAGCGCGGTAAGGGATAACAATCGACACTATTGCTACACAGCTTGGGCAGAATGCGTGGATTGATCTGCCAGGCGCGAAGGGGGAAAAGCAACCTTCCGGGTCGTTTCTTGATTCCATCGTATGTACGTTGCATCATCATTGCTTCATCATCAAGTCGTAGGATAGAGATCGTTTCTAGTCGTGGACGCCGATTTCCGTTCGTTCGTAAGGAGGCGAGTAGCGCGCTCAAATTAGTCGACTTCAGAGAGCTCGCTGCTCGAAAGTGAGATGTCCTCTGAATTGCGCCTGCTGGACGACTTGTAGCGATTGCGCGGTTCGTTGCGATGGACGCGCATGTGCTGCGCGCGGTTATCCTGCCGACTGAAGGATTTGGAGCATCCGGGCCATTCACATTCGTAAGCTGCGGAAGGCGTCAGCGCGCTCGCTACATACAGCGAAAGAACGAACGCTTTTCAGAAGTGTGGATTGAGCGAATGTGGCGCTTGAGATGCTCACTTCGCTTGAAGCACTTATTGCAGCTGCTCGTCAGATCGTCAGTGAGAACATGGCCCGTGCGAGGAGAACCCACTCTGGTACTTTGCACATGAAGATCTTGCGAGGACGACCCGTCTTTGTCAAGCCGACATACTGAATCTGTTGCAGCGTCGGTGAAGCATTCGGATCTTCGATGCCGACAGCGATGCCCAGATCAGGCGAGAGTGGAGGGCGACGGCCTCTCGAACGCTTTGTTGGCATACCTCTGAGCGTATCGGCATCTGGCATCGTGAAGCTTTTCGAGACCGATCGCGAGCGAGAAGTGCCCTGAGACGATCGAGATATGCTGATCTGATCCTCCTCGGCATCCGCATAATGAGGCTCGGTCGGGTAGCGATCAAAGGGCGAGCCATTGGTGTACATGGGGTGTGCAGTCATGCCCATGCTACTACTGCCCATGCCGTTTCGCATGAGATCGTACTGACGTCTGGTATTCTTGGCAGGCGCAGCAGTGCGCAGAGCAAACATGTAGTCTGTCTCTTCGCGCTTGAACGTAGACTCGTGAGGCTGTAAGCTGGCAACAGGCCACGGCGCCATCGAGCTCGAATGCATCTGCTCGCCAGTGTTGGAGTAGCTGCGCAAATCGTACATTGAGACGGAGCGACTCAAGGGTGGCGCAGGCGGTGGCATGGATTGAGAAGGAGGCGGGAAGGGCATGCCTGAGCCATATGACGGCGCGCGAGAGTGCATGGCCGATGGCATAGGCGTGTAAGCTGACGACATTGCTCTGAACTGGCCATTGTAGGGCATCATGGGCGTCATGTCCATACTGTTGCGGTAGTCCATCGGCATGCCTGGCGGGAAAGAGGCATACGATGGAGGCATCGGTCTCATTGGCATGGGCGGCGGCATGAAGCGTTCCTGACTGAGAGGCGGGTCATTGTACTCGCCTACATGCTGCGAGTCATTATGAGAGGGCCGATACATGGGCGATGACAATTGCTGATTGAGGCCTTGCAGTAGTAATCCGTGCATGGACGATACGTGAGCCTCTCCGCGATAGTATGGCGGAAAAGCAGACATGTTCGACTGAGGAGACTGCTGCATCTGAGCCGGATAGCCACCGTTCTGTTGATCTGGCGAGGTAGGCAGAGAAGCGCTTTCTATCGTCTGAGGTGAGAGCTGTGAGAGATCGTCCTGCAAGTATGCACCGCCCGCCGCTGAGCCTGAGGTTCTATCGTCATCACTCGGCCCTTCGGGCACATGCTGAGCATCTTTCAGATGTGTCTGCTTCTTGGCGCGGTGCTGCGTTGTAGGCTGTGAGGTCAGTTGGTGACTGCCGTCGTCCTGGAAATAGGATCTCGCGTTGATGGCCATGGGTTGCACAAAGCCAGCGTCATCGTCAGTCGTCGTGGATTGAGACTGAGATCGTACCTGAGCCGTCAGTTGACTCGATGTCTGACGGCCACTCGACGCGCAGTTCTGCTGAGACGGCGGTGCACGCGACCCGAGAGATGTCGAGGTAGCCGAGCTCAGGCTGCTCGAGTAGGACTGGGGCGACGTGCAGTCCTGCATGATGGCCAATCGCTCGAGAGGATCGAGGTAGAAGCCCTCGATACCCGACTCACTGTCCGTCCAATCGCAGTCGTCCGCTTCACTGTCGTTACGTTCGAGCAAAGTCTGCTCTCCGTCGTCTGAGGACCAAAAGTCAGAGCTGACGGACCAGTCTGAGGACTGAGTCGAGAATTGTCTCAGGACGAGCGAAGGGCGATGTCTGTCTAATCCGAGGTGGGCAGAGAGCGATCGGTCTGCTGAGTGGCCGTGCGGGGGTGACAGCGATCTAGCGAGTCTATCTTGTGCTGTTTGTCGCGAGCTATATAGATCAGCCGAGCTCGTCAAGACGCCCTGTGAAGAGTGTGAACGGGTTTGGGCGTCGTTGACAAGAATGCTCTGCGGGTATCTAGCTGTCCAGGTCGAATCAGGTCCATGCACTGACGAGGACCAGCTGTATTCGTCAACGGCGACGCTGTGTGTCAAGCTCTGCCGTGTCCGCACCGTATCGCCAGACGTTTGTCTTGCAGTTGTTGGCTCGGCCCTATGCGACGACCGAGAGGAGCGAGCAAAGACGAAAAAGGAGGGCACATGCGCAAGCGAAGAAACGAAGGGAGGGGGGCGAGGCATCAGAATGAGTTTCATTTGAGCCACCTGAGACGCACAATTGGTCGTACGCGCCGCCGCGCGCAGTCTGGGGCTCGCCTTGCCAACAGATGCCCAGCCCACTGTAGCTCATCTCTTGTTCCATTGTGGTCGTCAAATTCTAGAGATTCGTCTAGCTGCCCTTTCTGCGATACTATCGGTCTGTCTGACATGCGTTGCGATCTAGGCATGTGTGTCACCAGATCATCTCGCCTCTTTGCTCACAAGAGTCTGATCTTGCGGTCACTGTCCGTGCACCGGCCGTCCGAGCGCATGATGCGGCATCGGCCGTGCGCGCAATGACCGCATCAGTCGCCTGCCTCGATGGACACTCCTTAGAATGACCGAGACCGAAGCGCAAAGTTCGAAGGTACGCCTGCGTCATCTTGTCCATTCGAGTATAAGTCTAGAAGCAGGTTGCTGACTATATGCGAGTTACAATCGCGCCAGATGGCCAGCACTGCCTCGGAGCTTGTGTCCTCAACATGCGCCGATGAACGAAGTTCTCTCGATCAAATCAGTATTCGCTGCGGCAGACTAGTTTCCGGGCCAAGGCGCTAAAATGAATGAGATCTTCAGGAATGCACGCTTCCCCAACTTTGTGGGTGCATTGCTATCTCGTCCCGACGCCCCTCGGCTGCGGCGGCTCGGCTGAGCAAATGAGTTCGCCACATGGCAAATCCATTGAACGTTATTCCGTGACAGCTTTTCTATGAGCTCTTGCGAATGATCAAGCTCTCTAGCCAGTCAAGATGGACAATGTGTCCACGGAGACGTCTGAGGAAGACGAGGTAGCAGAACGCGCCTGCACAAACGGCAAGATAGGAAACGAGGGCTGCCCATTTGAAGTCCTGAGGTTGAGATACGATGATGGTCAGGACGTATTTGCACAAGTCGAGCATGTTCTGCGTTGAAAACTGCAGAGCTGTGATGGCGTTACGCCGAGGATGGTCTGCCAGCATGGTCTGCAGCTGTTTGAGTTGGATCTGTCTGCCTTGCATAAGCTTCCGACGCCCTGAGATCGAAGCGACTGACCAAATCAAAACTCCAGAGAAAAATGCGGCTTGCGGCCATGCCACCGAACAGTAGCATCGAGTTGACCGGCAGTCCTCTGTCAGCGAGTTGAGGCGCAAGGACGAAGAAGGACAGCAAGGCAGGCAAGAGCGATACGACCTCGCCCCAGATCGACCAGCTTCCTGCTCTGATGAGGCCGAGCTTGCTCTCAAGCAGTGGTCCCAAGAAGGTGCCAAGAAGACCGGTGACGACACAGAGACCGCGCATGCCCGCGACGAACGGGTCTGAGAAATTGTGGGTCTTGAGGTAGGCGATCATCGAGCCGTCAAAGCTAAGGACCGTCAAATACAGGAGCGAAATCGATAACGAGCTTGCAAAAATGGGGTGTCTTATAAAGTCTAGCCAATTCTGCTTCTGTTCGAGCAGGCCATGACTAATTCGAGCAAGCACTTTTGCTTCCGACGCCGATGAACTCTTTACGGGTACCCTTTGTGATGGGTCGGGTTGCGCCAACATCGGCATGCGCTCGTAAACGACTTGTATCCCTGTAGACATTGACACGTTAGCCCCACATGATATGACTCCATGCAGGTTAACATACAAACGAACTCGAACGCAAACGTGATTAAGCCGAGCCCTGCGAGGAAAGCGACAGAGAAAAGGTAGCTTGCCGTCGTAGTCAAGAGCGATACAAAGAGAGGAGCGAGCAGCTTTGAGCCCAGGTCGATACGTCGCAGAGAGGTATTGAGCTTCGTCAGTCGGGCGGATGAGCCTTGGGCGATACAGGTCGCCCAGTCGCGCTCGATCGCTACGCTGATGGCTATCGTAGAAAGACGAAGCACGCAGCCGGAAAGTGTGATCAATGTGAAGAGTAGCCATACCAGACCGCGCGCGTGTCTGCCATTGGCTGCTTCATCTCGGAGTGATGGAATCGCGAACAACAGCAAGAAAGCTGCGTAGGCTACCGTCGCTGACGACTTTTGACATACAATGGCCCATCGTACAACGGTCAAACGATTGTGTCGATCGACCATGGATCCGATGGAGCCAGAGAGCAAGATGGCGATGCCTGTTGTGAAGAAGCCGTAGAGTGACGCGGGTAGTAGGGTCGATTTGAAGAGCTCAATGAGATAGAGATACCATGCAAACTCGGCCGTACGGTCGCCCCATGTTCCGCTGGCATGTTGTAGGAGCAAGGACCAGAATGCACGACCGTCAAGGCTAGTCTCAGCCCCGACAAGGGGCTCATCTTGATTATGCTCGTTCTGAGCGTGTACCGGAGCTATCGAAGTGAGCTCGATGTCTGCTGCTGGCTCGGACCTCTGTGTAGTCTGACGCTGGTCGAGATGAGCCAGCTCGGTGAGTGGCGACATGCATGTCGGGCTGATCAAGGGAGCAGATTCGCCCGTGGCCGTGTCGCGCCGTTCACGCAATTTGCCCTCGTGCATGTCAAGAGCCGGGCAGCGACTGGCACAATCAGCGAGACACGTCACAGCGAGCGCACTATCTGCTACGACAGCATCTTCAGCAAGCTCTACGAAGATGGCAACAGCCGAATATGTTCCGTGAGCTCATGGCCCGGCCAATTTTGCAGAGATGCTCACAGCGTTCATGCAGTCGTATCATTGGCGGCCCCAACACTCTCGGTCGGTGATCCTGACTTGTGCATATCAGGCTAATTGAATGGGCTTCGACTACCTGCAGAACATCGAGTCTACCTCGAGCAAAACGGCAAGCTCGTCTCACCTTTCCACGATATCCCTCTCTTTGCAGATGATTCAAAGGTGAGCCGCTCGTCGTCTGACCGTTGCCGCATTGACAGAGGTGAAGACCGTACTCAACATGATCGTCGAGATCCCTCGCTGGACGAACGCCAAGATGGAGATTAGCAAAGAGGAGGCTTTCAATCCCATCAAGCAGGACATCAAGAAGGGCAAGCTCAGGTCGGTCTGACAAAAGTCACACTCGTAGTCACATCACTCACAGGAAAGGTTGTGGACAGATTCGTTCGCAACTGCTTCCCTCATCACGGGTACATTTGGAAGTACGCGCGACTCGTGTCCAGCGCGCGTTTGGTTGGCTGACAGATGCGCGCAGCTACGGCGCTTTCCCCCAGACGTGGGAAGATCCCGCTCATACCCACCCTGAGACAAAGGCCAAGGGTGACAACGATCCCCTCGACGTTTGCGAGATTGGCGAGGCTGTCGGTTACCCTGGTCAGGTCAAGCAAGTCAAGGCGCTGGGCGTCATGGCCCTTCTAGACGAAGGCGAGACGGACTGGAAGATCCTCGTCATCGATGTCAACGATCCCCTGGCTTCAAAGCTCAACGACATCGAAGACGTCGAACGTCACCTGCCTGGTCTCATCAGAGCGACGAACGAATGGTTCAGAATCTACAAGATCCCCGACGGAAAACCAGAGAACCAATTTGCGTTCTCCGGCGAGGCAAAGAACAAGAAGTATGCAACAGAAATTGTGCATGAGTGCCATGCCGCCTGGAAGAAGCTCATCTCTGGTCAAGGCGGTCGCGTCGACATTAACATGTCAGTCCTCCCCCAATCATCTCAACGAGCGCTGACTTTATTCACCGTAGCTCGAATTCGACCGTCAAGGACTCGCCAGGCGTTGTAGGACCTAGCGACGACGTCTACAAGGGAATCCCACAGGATTCTCGCAAGGCAACAGCGCCTATCGATCCATCTAGTAAGACATCTTCAGACTAAACGTGTTCCGGCACTGACCCGCTCAGCAGTCTCGAAATGGTTCTACCTGAGCGGCCATTCCATGCAGTAGAACAGCAGAACTAGCTAGAAATGCCTGTGCTTACCGTGCCGAAATTGCATGATGACCAAGGAGAGTCAAACCTTCCACGCGTCATTGTCGATCATGCGCGATCGCCCTTGCCACTAGCCAACCGGCTACTTCAATACCCCAGATTTTTCTTCCTCTTTACTTGTCGGTTCTCTCTCTCCACGGCACACACACGCCAGCACGCACCCAACACAGGCTATCGACACCACCCTTTCGAAGCGACGATGAAAGCGACGCTAGCGATCCTCGCCACTCTCGCGACAGCAGCTATCGCAGCTCCTGCCACTCAGGCTGACGCACCCTACCCTTATGCTGCTTCGGTCTATCAAAATGCGCTCTACTGCCCGAAAGGAACGGCGAATACGAAGGGCATCCTCTTTGCGGTGCACGGTACCGGCAGCACCGGCAGCGAGTCTTGGGCGAACACACCTTACGCTCAATACTTGCCCTCCGAAGGCTTTGCGATCTGCTGGGTCACCCTCGGCGATCGTTCTTTGAACGACACTCAGGACACTGCCAGCTATGTCTCCTACTGGATCAAACCTCTCGCGGCCAAGTCTGCTACCAAGAAAGTGGCATTGATCGGACACTCTCAGGTGCGCTTTGTCCGTTTCTGAGCGTCTGCCTCACTTAATCGTCAGGGCAGGGCGCCGGTCTCAACATTCCTTGGTCCCTCGAGTTTTGGCCATCGAACCGTCCGTATGTCAGCGTTTTCATTGCACTAGCTGGCGACTTCAGAGGCACAGACGAGGGCATTCTTGCATGTACCGCTCAGGATATCAGTCGCGGAGGATGCGTGGTCAGCGTCATACAGCAAAGTCGAGGCTCAAATGTTCTACAAACTCAGTACAAGTATAGCTCAAGCCAGCTTGTCAACACTTATTCGCTCTTTACACGCTACGACGATGTCATTCAGTCGGAGCAAGGTGCAGCTGCGACATCCTTGCTCAACGGAGCACAAAACCACGCCATGCAAGACCTGACAACATGCGGACCTGCTTATCTTGCGGATCAGTGCGTTGCATCTTGTGCTCAATCGCAAAGCCTGATTGGCTTCCTGCAGCTTTTCGATGCTTGTCACGCCAGCAGCATACGCATGGTCGAGAGTTGCTCTCGGCCTCGACAAGGCATTCGGTGAGTCGTGCTCTCATGCCAGTCTGCGTCTGGAAGCCGCATCTAACGTCGGGTCAGATCCGACGTATTGCACAATGGCCAAGGGTCAGGTTTTCACCACCGACTTTGGCGCCACGCCCGCCTTTGTACAAGGCATTGTCAACGACGTCGTTGCGCTAACTACGGGCAATCCTATCGCAAAGACAGAGGTCAGCTCAGCCCAGGTCTGATTGCTATTGCTGATCCGTTGTCACAGCCCTGCATTCGTCAATACGCAGCTGCGTACGCGCCAGCAGGCACAGTCTGCAAATCTTGATGGTCTCATAGCATAATCGACATCGCTTCTCGAGCAGTCTAAATTAATGATTTCACAAAAGCATGCATGTCTTTAGCACGTATTGGCTAGCTACTTTGTGATGATTAGCCTGTAGACTTCGCTGCTGCGGTCTGTGTCGAACGGGGCCAGCTCGATCACGGTCGTGCCAGCTTGAGGAGTGACTACAAACTTGATCGCAGTTGGATCATCTGAATCCTCAAGGAATGCCTCTTCGATGGGAGTGTTCTCTGGTCGACAAGTCGGTCGCCAGATTGTCGTGACCGGCAGCAATGCATTTCTGACGGGGACGATGTCAATGCTGCTTGTCGAGCTTGGAAGGGCGACTGCGTGCGAACGCACAAGTCGATTGTTCAGCATGACTCCACTCTCGGATGGGTACGACTTGACAAAAAATTGAGGAAGCGCTACAGAATGAGTCAGCATTAAGCAAGTGGCACATAGAATCTGCTGCACCTATGGCTTCGCCTGGCAATCTGACTGCTGCCACCACTCTACGCACATCTGGCACTGGTGGCTCGACAGGCTCGGCCTGTTGCTCGATCTGTACTGGCGCGGTATCCGGTGTGGGCACAACGCGAGCTGTCACAGCGGCTGCGGGTGCGGCAGGAGGCGGTAGCTTGACCTCTGGACTCGGCAAAAGCGCGGCAGCTGACCTACGCGTGGTTCGTGCAGGCGTGGAGGTCCCTTGCTCGACAGGAGCGCCAGAGGCTCCTTCAATCATCTGAACATCCGCAGGTGGCACAGAGGGAGTGCCGGTGCGGTTCCGTGTCAGATCGACGATCTCTGTCACGCTCGGCGGCGGATGCAGACCAACGCGCCCAAACGAGATGTTGAGCTGGCGGCCAAGACCAGCCCTGTTCGAGCTAGGCAGAGACGGATATGGGTCTTCAACGGCTGGCTGCAAGGTCACTGTAGCAAGGGCTGGTGAAGGCTGCTTCACTGGTTCTGCAGGCGTCATCGTCACATCTGCTGGTGGCGCTGGAATTGCAGCCGCCTTTACTGGCTCCGCTGGCGCAGCAGGCTGGCCGAGTTTAAGCTTGATGCCACTGACAGGTTTCGGTGCGATAGGCTCTTCCGGGTTAGGCTTGGGTTCTTCGACGACATTTACCTTTCCACGCGTCTTGAACTCCGGCAAAGGCTCCTTCATCATTTCGTCAAATTTAGCCAGCAGAGTCTGTGCATCCTTGTTGATCCGACTACCTTCTTCGTTATAGAACATCGCGTTGGTGAAGACAAGCCGGACATCGGCTGACCAAACTTGCACAGATTGGTATCCGCGTCGCGCTATTCTGGCTTCAATAACGTTGAACGAGATCGGCTTCTGGATATGTAGATAGTAATCTGGGTATAGCTCTCGCGATGGCAACTCGATGAAGTTTTCGGAGTACGGCCGACCACTATGTGATAAGCGCACATCAGTATAGTCCATAGCCTCGATCGTAGGCCTTACTTGGGATCCTCGAAATCAGTGAGTTCCTCCAGCTTGTTTGAGAAGAATTGCTTCATTCCAATGGGGCCTGATGTCTTTGCAACGCCAGCTTCGTTCGGCTCGTCATCATCTGGCTCGTTATGGACGTCAGACTTGCGTTTCTTCTTCTTGAATTTCTTGGTCTCTTCTGACACTTCTTGTTGGGTCATTGTTCCAGATTCGCGTCCATACTCGATGCGCAAGAGTCTGTCGAGACGTTGTGCAGCGAACCAGACGTCGGACTCCTTCTGATTATACCGCTTGGCATTGCAGTAGCATTGATGCAGATCTCCGTAGACTGCCGCAAGAGCAGTGTAGCCTCCAGACTTGAGCTTCGATCGGATCTCTGCATACGAAAGAGGCTTCTTGATGATCGCATAGTAGTCCGGATAGTCTGCCTTTGATGGCAATTGCCTGAAAATTTCCGAGATGAGGATTCCACTGCGTCCTGAGAGTCAGAAGCTGCAATTCGCAGAGAAAGCTTGAGCGCACTCGTCTTGGAAGTTGTCCAGAGCGTCAAGAATCTTCAGACCGCGCGTCTTGACGTTCTCTGGCGTATCAGGAACTGCTTCCACTTCTGCCGTAGGCAACGGCGTAGCACTGGCACGGCGCGTGCCCTTTGGTCTAGCAGCCTGCTCGAGCCGTCCTCTTTGTCAGCGTGGATCAGCGAGTCAAAAGAGAATACGAACCTTTGGTTCTGCTGCATCCAGATCATCATCGTTGGCGTCAATTGCGCCGGTCATGCCGTCATATTCCGCCTTCAATAATCGATCGAGATGCTGGGCAGTAAGGTAGATGTCGGAACCGACTTGATTGTATCGCTTGGCATTGTTGAAACAGCGATGAAAGTCAGCTCGCACTGCATCTAGATTGGCGTACGATCCGTCGCGCAATTTGGCTTGAATATCTAAGAATGCGATGGGCTTCTTGATGACTTCATAGTAGTCTGCATATTGTCGACGATCTGGTAGTTTAAGGAATGGCTCCGACCAAAGTTGACCGCTGGAGCAAAGTTAGAGAATCGACTACGCTGAGGAGTCCTGGATCTTACCCGACTTCGTGAGTGGCAAGCACGTCATACAGAGCTTGGCCGCGCTCCTTGACAGCTTTAGGGTTTTCCGGCGCAGGCGGACCAGCGACCGCATTTGGCTGATTGGCCGGAGGTGCTGGCATGCTGATCCGACGCTGCAAACAAGGCGCAATGATCAGACGCCATCAATGCAGGAACCAAGAGACTTGCCCGCAACGCCGCATGGGCTGGTGAGGCTTCTCGCTTGACGTCCTCTTGCGCTGGCTCAGGCTCGACAGGTGTAGGCTCCCGAGCGCCGTTGACGACACTTCGCCGTGATCGTTTGGCGGACGGTTGAGACTCTGGTACTATGGCTTCTTTGGACGGCTGTGCCGGTACTGTAGCCCGGGCTAAAGACACACGAATCTTTTTGTTGGCAGGCGCAGGTGTGTCGTCTGCTTGTGCTGGCGCCTCAGTCACACTTGCATCTGTCTCTCCGCGCCTCCGTTTTTTGCTGGACGAGGTCGAGGTTTCGGTCGCATCGAGCGGACTGGTGAGTGCCTCCTCAACAGGAGCGACTGCTTCTGCTCTGCCACTTTTGCGTCTCTTGCTCGAGCTCGGCGCAGGCTCGACGCTAGTATCGGGTCCATCGATAGCCTTGCTCTTGCCTTTCTTGTCTATCTTTTGCGGTTCGGTCTTGGATGATGCTTCAGAGGGGTGCTTGAAATGCAAGTTGAGGCTCAACCCGGCGCCTGCCGCTGTGCGCTTATCAGGCTTGTCTGCTGCGTGCGTTTTGCCATTGACGGCGGGTGGCTCGTTGGGCGCAAGCGAGGTTGAAGACGACTTAAGCTTGATCTTATTGGTCGGCTTGGCCGATGATGGTTCCCGAGTCGCTTTGCCTCTGTTCAGCGCTGGCGTCGGCTCGCCATTGACGGCAGGAGCCGCGACTTTGAGGCTTATTCGTCTGATATCGCTCGCAGGCGCATCTTCATTCGCTTTGGCAACCGATGACGGCGGAGGAGCATCTTTGACAGACCGTTTCGGCGCTTCACGCTCTGGCTTCTTTGGCGAAGTATGCGTCTTCTTGCCAGTGCCACTGGGACCCTGAGCAGCGGTAGGCCTGCCTAGTTTGACCGAATTTTGAGATCTGTCCGGCGTCGTCGTTGAACTCGAAGAATGGCCATTATGGCCTGATCCGTGACGACGTTGCGCGGCGGGGGTCTCTAGCACCGCCGCCGTGCTCTTTATCCGCGCCATTCAGGTCAGAATCGATATTGACGCGTCGCCAGGCGAGCGTAGGCGGACGCGGACAAACGGCCAGGCTGCCTCACTCGTCGACTGGTGATCAGTGTAGCGTCGTGCGAGAGCTTGCGTTGAGTGTCGGTCGTCTGCTGAGGTAGCTCGAGGTACCTCGCTTTGTGCAGTACTGGCCGAGCGGCTCCGGCTGAGTTATTCTCACGTAAGATACTGCCTCTGCAAAAATTCGTCATCAAGAGGAGTCAGAAAGAAAGTCAGCCGGCAAGATGTCTTCGTTGACCAACGGCAATGCTCCTTCTGGCCTCAGCCGGGCCCGAGCTGTCAATGGACACAGCAGCGCACAGCCCATCAACATTGGCGGGCCGGGCGAGCCATCGTCTCTGAGCGCACAACGTGCCAGCACTTCTGCTTACGTACAGCCTGGCTCGCCGCACAGTCCGCCAGCGCACTACTATCCCATCGCATCAGCCTCACCACCGGCAACCAACTCTTTTGCTGCCATGAATTTGACCGACAGCGAGCGCAGACGCTCGATTTCTCAGACTATGAACTCGCCCAATGGCGGTCTGAGCACGACTGTCCAGGCACAGGCTGCCTCGCCGCAGTCTGCTTCCTCGCAAGGTCTACAAAGCGGACGCAGTCCACGAGCGAGAGCAGGAACGACAAGTTCCATCCAGCTCGTCATGCCTAAACCACTCAGATCCTTCAATCCACAGTCTGTGCGCATGGAGGAAGCCAAGATTGTTCCTCGCATCCTGCTACTCGAAAACGTGAGCTCAGTGATATGCTAACCCTACGATGGCACTGACGACTGGCCTGCGCTAGGTAAATGAGACAGGCATCCAGCTGTTCAGAGCGCAAGGCTATCATGTCGACACCGAAAAAGGAGCGCTTGGCGAGGACGAGCTGATCGAGCGACTCATACAAGGCCGCTACACTGCCGTCGGTATCCGATCAAAGACGCGCGTCACCGCGAAAGTCATCGAAGCTGTCCGCGATTTGCTTGTCATTGGTTGCTTCTGCATTGGCACGAATCAAGTCGATCTCCGCGCGGCTGCCAAAGCTGGTATTGCGGTATTCAATTCGCCTTTCTCAAAGTGAGCCGCTCCGTTTCCCCCCGACATGTGATCATGACTGATTTCCGGCAGCTCTCGGTCTGTGGCAGAGCTCGTCATCTCTGAAGTTATTGCGCTCTCGCGACAGATCTGCGATCGCTCCAACGAAATGCGCAAGGGCACTTGGAACAAAGTCTCAAAAGGCTGCTGGGAAGTGCGCAACAAAACACTGGGTATCGTTGGCTATGGACATATCGGTTCGCAACTCTCAGTCTTGGCAGAGGCAATGGGTCTCAACGTGCTCTACTTTGACGTAATGCCAATCATGCCACTCGGTCAAGCTCGGCAAGTCGACACATTGGACGAATTGCTGTCTCAGTCAGACTTTGTGACGCTACACGTGCCAGAGCTGCCGGAGACAACCAACATGATCTCCCACGACGAGCTGCAAATGATGAAAGAAGGATCATACCTGCTCAATAACGCTCGTGGCAAAGTCGTCGATCTAGACGCACTAGCCGTGTCTATCAGATCAGGACATCTTGCAGGCGCAGCAATCGATGTGTATCCTTCGGAGCCAGCGAAGAATGGTCAGCTGTTCAACAGCAATTCGCTTGGCGGAGACGCCGGCTGGGCAGAAGAACTGGGCAAGCTGCCCAACGTCATCCTGACGCCGCATATCGGTGGATCAACGGAGGAAGCTCAGCGAATGATCGGAACAGAAGTTGCTTCTGCTCTCGTGCGCTACGTCAATTTCGGATCCTCACTAGGCGCCGTCAACTTTCCGGAAGTCTCTCTCCGACCCATCATTGGGGACAAGATCATCCGGGTCTGTCACATTCATGCCAACCAACCCGGTGTGCTCAAAAGAATCAACGCCATCCTCGGTGAATACAATGTCGAACGACAGCTNTCCGATTCCAGAGGCGATCTTGCCTACCTCATGGCCGATATCGCAGATGTCGATCAAGAAGGCGTGCGCGCAATCTACGAAGCCATTCAGCAGACACCTGCAAACATTGCTACTCGCGTATTGCTATAGACAGGCCGCTCGATCATGCATGATTGTAGACAGATGCATGCCTGCCGGCACTCTTGTGCTCGCAAATTTAGCCTGCGTAGGGAATAGCCTTGCCGCCCCACGTCATTTTGCTGTAGACAAGTCAGCTCGTGTCCCTGCACCTTGACGACGGCATACAATTTGGCGTTAGCGAGCTGCGTCACAACGATTAGCTCCACGTTCCTACTGACAGGCACCCAAGCGTACATCGAGGGCAGGGTTCTCCTCGGCTTTGGAGGGAACATTCATCGAGAAAGTGTCGAAGACCTTCTGGTCGCGACGGTAGCACAAGAAGAGCTCGACCGTGTCATCAAGCTCGACTGCGGGTCCATCAAACGAGGCACCGTATCTGTGACTGAGCTGAACTCACGATCCCAGACTTCGCAACGCTGATCGGTATTGTTAGGTACCCA